GGTAGAAGACAGCCCCATTCTCGCATGGATTTATCTGTGAATATAAAAAATGTACAAACATTTATACCGTTGAATGTGTGCATAGATTGATGAATGAGGTGTGAGTGTTGACTCGTTGCAGTGTCTGTGATTTTAATGTATTTCATAACGTTTCGTTTAGTGTGTACAATGTATAATGGGGAAGGAGATGTGTTTTTAAAGAGGATGATTAAGGTTCAGCCAGCACTGCGCAAGTTTCATCACGTTAACCTCCGACACAACATGAATCTGAATCCACACGGGTACATGGCAATCAAGATGAATGAATACACGATTATCAGGGGCGTGACCCAGTGCTATAAAACATCTCAGATAATGCAGAATCATGTCAACTCGCTACATTAATCAAGGATTGATGCGATGGCGTTCATACAATGTTATATGAAGGTTCATACTCTAGTGAACTGACACAAAGTGAAAGTCAGTTCACATAGTTTGTATCGCAAGTTGCTATCTCAAATGATGTAGGCCTAGACATATACACACTTTTATTTAGTACATGTGACTTCATGTTTACACTAACAGCAATACAACAACCAACTGTGTTGCGGAATAAATTAAGTAAAAAAAAAGAGGTGACAAGAGTGAATATACGAGTGCACAACTTGCTCTTCAGGAACATCTGACACAACACATGTATTTAAAACATATCACCATCAGCTATCACCATCTTCATCTTGTTCACAAGGGTAGGTCGTCGCGAGGTTATTTGTAAACGGTCATTCAGTCAAACTCTGACGTTTGTAAAGGATCAAAATGATCAGAGAGGACGTTTCTGTTTGTATCCGTGGTAGGGAATTCCAAGGGGTTCCCCCAGGAATGTCGAAGAAGTCCGTCAGTGTTTACGTCATTTTAAAAAAAAGGTCTCGCAAAAAAACGTATGAACGTCAAAATGTGTCGTCCATACATACATGTATGAACGTCAATGTCGCAGTCATGTGACCGACCTCTCCTCCAATGGCCTAATATCTTGTAAACTTTCAATTAAAACTTTATAGTCTGTTGAAAACTGATCACTTACACACGTTCTGCATATTTAGTTTCTTGATAACGTGGATTCAAGGAAACTATTAAATGTACTTGGCGTGTCAACACGCTAGAAAAACAAAATACTATTGATCAGATAAATCCCAAAATGTTATTTAGTGCTTCTGTCATACGTCACACAATATAAAAACTTCCCATCGACACATTGTATGTCTGTAAGTGATAATGATACAGGCAAAGTTTCATATTTTAATAGGTGGACGCAAAATACTATCGGCATGTATATGATGAATAATGTTGACCTTAGAATTTACATTTGTCACATAAATCAAACCTACTTACTATTGCCGTTTGGCCGCAGTCAGCAGTAGTTGGTGACCCTGAACAGTTTCCCTCTGTGTAAAACCGACTCAGCTGACACGTGTAGCCACCTGGAATCTTGCAGTAGGAGGCTGACAGACATTCTGGGTCATTCAGGCAGATCACCGAGCACTCGATCCTGCTTCGGGCTCGCTTGGTTGTCAAAACGTCACTGTTTGTTCTTGTGAACGGGCAACTCCGGAATGAAACACGTCTTCTTTCAGCAAGGATACGTCCAGAGTACGCCTGCAGCAGCAGGAAGACCAGGAGTGGCTTCATCTTCGTACAGTCAACCGTTGCCTAACTATGTGACTTAAGCAAGGCGAGGAAAAACACAATTATTTTGATGCAAGGATGACAGAAAACAAGTTCAGTTTTGAAACGAATGTGCACACAAATTGATACAGAAAGTTATATATCCAGATGGCGATTTTGATAGCGATGTATATCTGTATAAATGTAATTCCTAAACAAGTGTGCGCACGTACAAAAAGCTACAACATTGTTTATGCTGCTTGTTACATTTGGGTGTTATAAACAGTTTTGAAAGCTTAACAAGTTGGGGATACACGTTTTTATAATTACTACTTCACGAAACAACGTTTGCCTGAGCCTTTGTTCACCTACTGGATGGATGTCTGTGTGTGTTTGTTGTTTAACGCCGCACTCAGCAATATTCCAGCTATACTGGGGTTATCTGTAAATAATCGAGTCTGGATCATACATCCAGTTTCTAACATCATAAGCATCGATCCACGCAATTGGTATATGATGACATTCATCAACCATGGCAGCGAGCCTGACCACCCGATCCCGTTAATCGCCTCTTACGACAAGTACAGTCGCCTTTTACGGTAAGCATTGGTTGCCGAAGACTTATTCTACCCTGGATCGTCACGCGTGTACTGGATGGAAAGAACGATACGAGCAACTTATTTTGGAAGATACATATTATTGTTTTACATGTCTGTGTTATTCATGCTGAAAGATACATCGAACAATTCAATCGTTCAAGGCGCGTTTTTACAGGTTTCAGGGTTTCTGAAGTCGAATATATTATGACGAAGCATCACCAAATTGTGAATAATAGCTTACTAATGATGATTTAAATATTTCTAAATACGTTGACACTTTTCTAATGATAAAAAAGCAAACTTACAGTTTTGCAGTTGAGTGGCCAAGAACTGCAACACTACCGTTTCAAATTTGATGTTTATAGTGACGTATCTCCTAGACGTTCTCCGCGCTTGCTGCTGATCCTCCTTATAAGGAAATAGTAGTTTATCCAAGCGACACAGCTAAAGAAGAGACAGTCAGTGAAGACACAGCGTTTACACAACATTGCCTGGATGTTGTCATAATAAAACAAACTACTTCTTTGCTTTAATCTCGTTACTCTGTGTTTCCCATCTTTCCACTGACTTAAAGTGTGGAGATGGGTAGCTGTTTGGCATAATCGATAAACCCTTCACATAAGAATTGATTTTCACATTGTGCGAGTTCGGTGGAGTAAGGTCAGTTATGTGTGAGCGCAGCAATGTAGGAAAGTCAGAGCTTGCGATGTTTATTATCACAAAATGTAAGTCAATTCATATTTTTTCATATATTTTTGTTGCTATTTCGTAGGAGATTTACATAATATCATTCCGTACGTGTGACATACTGTCTAAATGTGTGCAAAATTACGACCAATATTGTCTTATACTGAAGTAGTAGAACAGAAGCTAGCGATTCCATGAGTATTAGGACCCAGGTGAAAATTCTCCAGCAGCATATTTTTTACTTAAGTGGCGACTATTCTTGTCGTAAGAGGCGACTAACGGGATCGCGTGGCCAGACTCGCCGATTTGGTTGATGCATGTCATGTATCCCACTTACATAGATCGATGCTCATGATGTCAATCACCGGTTTGTCTGGTCCAAACTCGATTATTTACCGACCGCTGTCATAGAGCTGGACTATTGCTGAGTGCGGCGTCATGCAACAAACAAAACAAGACTTCCAGCATAAACCCAGCAGGGGACACCAGAATTGGGCTTCACATATTGAACTGCTCTATTGAGAACATTTCGGGGGACTTAGCGTGCCAGTCTCATGTCCGTATGGCTTCTCGGCACAACGTGTTCTGGCTTTGTCATTTAGCATTTCAAGATTTCAGCCGATGATTCAAGCGAATGGACAACGACAGGACGCACAATTTCGGCACTATATGGCTGGCAAATCAAATGTCCATTCATGATAACCAAATCAGTTCGTCTGTCATGGGTGATACCGTCCCACACCATGACACTACCGCCCAAATACCGATCATGGTCAAGAATTTTTACCCTGACTACCTCTCGCCGCTACGTCGCCAACAACTTGTTCTGCCATCGGTGTTTCGGAGGCAAAACCATGATTCGTCTGTAAACATCGTGTAATGCCTTTGGCGCACAGCCCGTCGCTGGTTTTGCCTAGCCCACTCCAATTTGTGCCAACTATAGTAAGTTGTGAGGGTCACACCCTCAACAGGACGCCTTAATTTCAGGCGGGCAACATAGAGCCGGTGTTTAACGATAGATGTTAAAATTCACCACAGACGAAAACTTACACTTTTTGATTTTCCAAACGTTCAGGCAACATGGGATGCTGATTTTCCCCCTCGCCATTTTATCTGTTCACTTTGACTTGTCTGTGCACGTGCAGTCCAAGACATGTGTGTGGTTAGATGTTCTGCTCAGGTGCAACGCCGTGGTTTTGTAACTGTACACCTCAACGATAGCTCATTCAAATAATGAGTTCCCATACTCTTTGTCGGCAGTATACCATGACCTTTAGAGTTTAGAATTTATATGAAGAGAGACATACGGAAGAAGAAAAAGAACAACATGTTTATGCTCATGATTCACGAAAGTAACAAAGACAAGTTGACAATGTATACACGTTACTCATATACGTTGTTTTGAAATATACTTTTAACGTGGTGTTATTTTTCAATCAATCCGCCGTCTGGTGTAATTATGTATACGTTGTCATCAGTCATCTGAGATGACGCGTTCCAATACGTCCCAATAAGTAGATCTGCTGACTCAGAAAGTTAATTTGACTGAACCAAGGCACTTTCTAGTTATTGTTTTATTGGATAACGGATGACATAATCGTCAAGGGGAAACAATTCGCTGTGCAGAGAGGCGTCACTTGGGCGTTCCAGAATTATATAGTCGTGGATTTGAGTACAAACTTTGATCTGAGGACGCTGATGGTTCTCCACATTAACTGCAATTACATCTAACATGAAACACGCGTGGTTGCAAATTGATTTGAAAAACAACACTCTACTTAAACGATATACATAAAAGCTACTTACCTGTTTAACATTAACTCATATCGTTTGTTCCTAATCATTTGTTGCAATACACGAGCCGGTAAAGTATTTGTCGTGTATTCAATCGCCATGGTTTGTTGCAATACACGAGCTGGTAGATTGTTTGTCGTGTAAACAATCGCCATGGTTTGTTGCAATACAAGGAATGGCTAATTTTGGACAAAGGTCGTGAGTCAACTTGGGAGGACAATTTAAACGCATCTGATATATATATTCTTTATTCCTCCACAGGATAGTTGCATACATATAATGACAGCATTTACAAGTTTATGAAAACAGGCATTCCTATGTTAAGTCTATCCCTGCTTACATGTCAGAAGACATAATGTTTCTTCACAAGGTCTATATATTTCTTCTCTACAGTCTCTGGGTTTGCTGGCATCGGGGGCGCCAACAGAACTGTTGCCAATTTGTTTGGTGTAGGCAAGTCAACATATATATGAATAAGATCGTCCTTTGGCGTTGGAATTTACGTTCAGATGACAACATATTTTCAGCCAAAATTTGCATATAAGTAAATTTATATTTGCACCTGCTCCAGACATGGGCAAATTTGGTCCTGGTTTATATAGATGGACATGAGTAAACGCGTTCATATGACAAGTATACTTACGTCCCTATATTTACACACGTATGCGAATATACACATACATATAAAAGTGCCTGTGAACGGGGCATTATTAGATAACAAAATTGACAGTGGACAGTAAAATAACTAGCGTATCACATATTTGTATTTATAACTAGCATGAAACTGTAAAAAATGGTATAGCTTGCCAGTAATCAAGGTAACGCGACGACACTGGAGACCATTGGATCTTACAGTACATCTGCTACCTGCATGGAGATCCTCAAAAACAACAAACAATCTCACCTAAGTCTGCAATGGAAAACTCGAGGACGTGAACGGCACACGCAACGTCAATGTCTGTAACAACATGTCCTTCTTCAATGTCAACACAAACACTACAATCACTTCACTGATCGACACTCGACACCAGGAGATCCACTACTTCCTGATATCCCCAGAATCTCGCCATGTCGGCCGCTGTCTCCCCATCCACGTTCCTAGCGTTGATTTCCGCGATGTTCTGTGAGAGGACAAACTTCACCGTATCCATATATCCTCCATCACAAGCCCAGTGAAGGGTGTTGTTGCCGTCATCGTCCACAAGCGAAACATCAGCTCCTTTCCTCACAAGAAACTGTACTATTTCACTACGTCCCCATCGTGCTGCCTCCATCAACGGCGTCCTCCCGCCGATGTTGCTACTGTTGATGTCAACCAGACCTGCTGCCAGGATCCGATTCACAGCTGCCAGATCCCCTTCCATGCTAGCTTTATGGAGTTTGTAGGCTGCCTGGGAGTAATCACGTGCGGCTTTCCGTTTTACTGAAGCACAAAATTAATGAGGTCTTTACCTTACAGCTGCATTTTTCACGTCTTTCAATGATGATAGAAAGGCAGTAGACATTTATATTTAGTCTTGTTATTTGGCAGACATCAAGAAGGTGATTGTAGAGGGAATGATAAGAGCTGATGATGTGTTTTAACTTTTAGGTATTTACATGCTAAGAATGTTTCTGAAACATTTTACAGTGCTGACAACATTTAGTGTATGTCTGGAGAGTAGTTTGCCCACTACAATACATGTAACGTTGGTTCCAACTCACCTAGTGTATCTAGTCTTCTGGGGATCTCAGACTTGCTCATGACTGTGGAGTGGAATAGAAACTATTTTGATTAAGTAGTATGTCTGTGTGGTTGATGTTGCCAATATTTAATATATGCTGTCATATTACATTATGATTATCGACCTTTTTATTGAAAAGAATATGTTTTTGATGAAGGGTGATGTAATTACAACATCATAATTATGCACACAGCGACATTGTCATCAATGGTCCTAAGTGTTCTCCCATCAACTGTGGAGCTTAGTCTCATATGTGGCAGCAGGACGCGGGGCTTCCGTCATTCTCCAGAGTTTTTTTTGTTTTGAGGAAAGCTACAGCACATGGTCGTCGTCTGAGACGTACGAGACTTGACATGAAAGCATCCAAAGATGTTACAGAAGTTATATCTGACAACAGCTCTTAAATCTAGGAGTGGCGTTTACAGCAGCCTGTAAAGTATTTTCAATGCAGCAATCATACAGTTAGATCTCTCTAGACGACGGGAATTGAATACGTTAACACCATGATCACTTTATATGTTGCAAGATTTGACTAGAATTTAGTTCGGTCCATTCACATGTTACTGTACTTCATCAGAATATTTATTACATTTAGGAGTGACATTTACAGCAGCCTGTAAATATGTCCCAGTGCTGCAATCATATATTTAGGTACTACAGACGACGGGAGGTTCGATTAATCGGTTCGCATCATTTTGTTGTCTTTCAGTAAACAGTTCAACAAAACTAGATCCCACCTAACAATGACAAACAAATACACAAAAGAAACTGGCCATCTTAAGACTTAAGTAATCATTAACCCTCATTAAACATAATTACACATACCTTGACTTTGCCACATATTGTATTATCTATTTTTGAAATATTAGAACAGTAAAGAGGTGGGTTGTCTGTGCTCAGTTATGATACAATGGGGTTGGATTGATCTGTGGTTTGGAGCTGATGCACTTGTTACGTTTAAGTCGTATTTATTTACATAAAGTTTGTCAAACATAACTGATATTCCCATCACCATGAAGCGGCAAGGACTAAGGGGGATAACTCATACGGGTCACGTGACCACGAGTATGACCGGGCCTTTCCGCCGAAGCCAAATCCCTTTCGTACTGAACTCAAACAACAAAGAACGCGTACTTCAGGAGAGATGTCACGCGTTATAAAACAGGCCAGGCAGACGGCGGTGAAAATGAAGACTATGGGAGCAGAATGGAAGACATGCCGCGTCCAACAGATAGAACAGCGGAACTGACAGCAGAGCCAATAAGGAACCGACGAACGGGAGACGTCGGACATGCAGATATGATGAGGTATTTCACCTGTTAATGTTAATATTTTAACATTTTAATCTCCAACAGGACAGGGAAATAAATATTACTGACAATACCCGCCCTAACAGTTACACCTGGCCAGTCAGAGATGAAAGCCCAAGCGTAGGAACCGGTCGTAAAATCCTCGCGGCTGATCACCGTCCTGTTGATAGTACCCCCATGCATGACATGCAGGGATGGTCTGACGGCAATGATACTATGTTATCGGAGGACAGCTTATGGGCTTTTCTTTTAAAAAGCATTCGCGACGACATGCAACAAGATACTTATAAGGAGCTTCCGTCAAATGGATCATTAAGCAATACCTATATGGGATTGTGTAGATGCGCCAAAGGCATCATTGAAATATTTCGGAAGAAATATCAATGAATAAACAATAGCGGTTCTCATTTTTTCGGGCATATGCTTGGAACGATGTCCAAATATGAGGCAGCACTTGCTCTAATCCTGAGCACAGTTAGGTTGGCAATACAGAGGGTAAGGGTGTATGGATGGCGCTCGTATCACGAGCAGTTTTGCGCAATATAAATTGGGCTAACATTGACAATGACCATTGGCATATAAACTTATTGCATCAACCAAACTTTATTCAGCAATGTATGGAATTTTTTACAACCAAAGACGAGAGTCACAATAAAGGCACCATGCTGGGAGTTTCACCAAAATGTTGCCTGCTGACTAGATGAAGAGCTCCCTAAGAAATAGTTGAACTCCAGTGCAAGGGCTGTTCTCCAATCAGGCTGGGCGTCGTCGTGCAGACATATCCACATAAAGAAGGCTCTGCTCTACTGGTGGAGGGTTTTAATTTTGGCATGTAAGTGATTATTCATTATTTAAAAATATTTTGTTTTGTCAACAACAACCATTAATCATTAGAATTTATAAGGAAATATTACAGGGCAGAATTGCCTGTCCCTTTAATACCTCTCTATTGACTAACCTGAAAATTTTGCCTCAACACTGAATACCCAAAAAGGAGATAGTGGAATTTAGATTAATTCAGCATGTATCGTTTCGAGCACATAATTTCATAAATGACTTCATTGATCAACATGCTGTTTCGGTTCAGTAAACATGGTTTGATGCTGCCATTCATATGATCCAGGTGCTTGGAAGCGGTGCCTTGTTACTTTAGGGTGACATAAAGTGTGTCTTTTGACTGATTCAAGTCAGGAGACACAATTTCCATAAACCAATATTTTGTGGATATTTGTCTCCCTATGGTTTATAAAATAAGTTGTGCTGTATTTTTAAAGAAATGCTTACTTCACTGACTTGGCTACGTCATCAGGGTCGAAAACAGGTCAGGTACAGCTCTATTTGGATGTTTTCTCTTTGGCGGCTGAAGAGGTAATGTTGCCTGCAAGACAGCATTCTTAACATTTAAACAATGTGCATCCATTTCGAAAATGAGGCCATACAACAATACAATTTACTGACATTCTTAGATATAGAAATTGATACTATAAAATGGTAAATCTGCAAAGCACAGGAAAGAATCGACCATCACTTTAGTTGAATCCAACAGTTTCTCACAAAGCAAAAAGAGCAGCTTTTAAAAAAATCCAATCACTTATCAGTTGGTCAACTTTGTGGTGGGGCGGCCTTTCTCCCGGCATTTTACCGACATGACAAAGGATTTAAGAAGTCACATCATCAGTTACGTGTGAGCAATGTCGTCAAACATGATCTGATACTGATAAGATATTTTGAGAAACCGTAACGGTATCCTATTGTTTCTAGAGAATTTGTGGTATGTCAGCGACCGCTTGCAACTGTTTCACGAAGACATTGCAGAGGATTCGGGCTATATTTCAATCTCGTGGCTATGCATATCTGGAGGAGGATAGCTCTTCCAATTAATAAATGCCTTTTCAACACTGATAATTATATAGAGCGACAAAACCCTTTCCATATCCAATAAAAATATCTGCATAAATCGGTTGTACGATTCCGACTATATCATGAGCATGTTTTTATGAATCACTATCAAATAGTAACGATACCAGGTGTTTGCAAAAAGGTGGCACCCGTCACAATAACATTCAAAGTCAAGTCAAGTCATGTATAACATGACACATGAATCGTGGCAATACTAAACACGTTGACCTCTAACTCCACTAGGGTTATGGTATGGGTAACGTTATTTGTCTTAAATTGAATCTATTCATCAAGGCACATCCTTGGAAACATTAATACCATTGCTGATTCCCTTTCAGCTATTCCACATCTTAGCACCACAGGGCAAACACACGCGCACGTGATTCACCTTTTGGAAGCTTTCAGATAACTTGAATTCCTACAATTATCAATACTAAGTGAGCATGTGATTATGCAATTTCATCTTTATGTAAGTTTCGGTTTTGATTTACCATAGGGCATAATTGACCAGTCCCATTGTCCCATTTTTGTGGTACATTGCCAACATGGCGTTAGTAGGTAAAGCTCCCTTCACTGTAGCCCAGCATATATCTGCCTCTAGTCGCACAGGAGTCAAATCTGACCTCACCTTAGCTCAATGTCATCGCTGAATATTAAATTCTCTAACAAAGATCAGTAAGGTAGGACAAGCATTATGCATGCTATGGCCCATCAAGATCCAAGGATATGCCCTGTAAAAGCAATGTCACGGTACCTATCAAGACTGTCTGGCTTACCTCAGAAGACACACATATAATTCTTCATATATTTAGATATAAATAAATAAATATTAGATATAAATGCAACATACAACACACATTCTTTATGCACACAACAGCAGCATTAATGGGGGTTTCTCCATGTAAGATCAAGTTATGGGGTTGCTAGAATACCGACACAAATATTTAAACAAAATATCTGCATTGGTAGTGTCCATAATGGTAACACTTAAGTTGCCGATAAATGGAACATCCTACATTAGCCGAGAGAAGTACAGGTTGAGAAGTTGGGCAAGTCGATGGTGATACGTTTCCCAGAAGGCGATCATCATGACAGCCAAATCGAAGTTCATACACATTTTCTCCTTCAAGGGATTTTAGCATTCCCACTTGAAAATGTCTGTGTCTGTGAGTTGGGTTTAGCCCTGCTTTTAACATTATTCCAGTTATATCACGTCGTGTCAGCTTAATGTGGGAGGAAAGCCCGAAGTGATGCAGGTCTCAGACGGTTACCACTTCGGTGAAACCCAGGAGCACGGGTATGGTGCTGACAAACATAGAAACATAATTGGGGCGAACCAGGATTCGAACCCACAATCATAGGTTTCTGGTGGAGCCTTTGACGACAGGGCCACCCGTGCCCCCAACTTGAGAATGAATCAACAATGAAAAGTTCTCCAAATCTCACTGGCTATGTGTATAATTGAAGTCATTTCATAGTGCCAAGCTACTGTGACTGTCCATATTTGTCTCTGGGGGATCCCGTAGCACTGGTAAAAGGATTCATATCATATAGGTAGACTTCTGCTAGCCTCTTTGGAGGGCTTTCTAATCGACCAATAAGTACCTGATACTTGTATTGCTCGCGAAGGTGGGGGTGCAAATTGATTAGGCTGTCTATCATATCGTTCTTTACCGGAAGGAAATGTGCTCAATGTTGGCTTAGAAATAGCATATGAAGCAATAATCCGTTCAGTCATATTAGGCATTGTGGGTATCATAGGGGATGGATTCCTTTTACTTTAGCTTATCACAAAAGTTACAGACTCTTGTTGGGACATTTGGGTTGACTGTAGGACAAGTGTTCTGTGGATACAGATACAGAATTCTTTGATGGAGAGGCCTCTGGTCTACACAATATTTACTAACCACTGACTCATGAATTTCCGGGTCATACTGTTACCTATCACTATTTGTAACATATGCAGTGAAGTCATTGCGAGTAGGCTCACATTCTGGGCATTAGGATTCAGTTTCTTTGGTGACTGGGATTCCGGTGATTCATCATTCTTTCTCAACATGGATTCAGCCAGCTTCATGTAGTTCTCTTTCCAAATTCCGAATCTTCCTTACTTGTAATTTAGCATGCATTCGCTCTCGCCACTTTGGTTGCCTTTCTTTCAACCATTTGCGCGCAGGTATGCGTTTTGCATATTTCTTCTTAAGCTTTATGCTGTGCTCACCACGTTGGGCTTGCTTCTTCATACATGCAAGGAGGCTGATGATCCGACAGATTACTGGCAGATGATATGCGACTATGAACCAGCTCTTATGACTGAGACGTGACTGATTGGAATCTTCATCTGAAAGTCTGCTGTGTTCACCCGAGATTAGTCTAGTTTATGACCTAAACTTGTGACTTTTATATGAATGTCTCTTAGATTTTCTCTCCGAATGACGTGCATCAGAATAATATGACGCTGAGCAATTGGATTCAGATTTGTTTGTTTGGCCCACCCTACTAGAATGTCTGGGGCTCTGAACGGAAATTGTTTCATCCATATCAACGTCGGAGCCTGGCAATACATAGCTTTGCAAATATGAGCGGGGATAGTTTTCTCTTGTTGACGAGAGCCGACGCTCCCTCTTTCGATTCCCCAGACGATTGTAGGCTTGCAGACACTCCCTCCCTCTGTGCTACTGTCTCTTTGGTTTGGGAACCACGATCCATGTCTTAATGCTTCAATGCATTCGCCATATAATGTAGGGTCAAATTGGTGTCAAAAGGAATCACACGCTTCACGGAAGTTGCCATTTATTCATCTAAAAATAGGATTAACAAAACAAGAGGAATAATATTAATCAAGGCGCTTCAAACACTTTCTTACAGGTGTCATGTTCAAAAGAAAATACTTGCTTTGAGTAGGTAAACATGATTATATTGTTATATCATATTATAAGTGTCATTGGTATGCAGCGGGAATGTGGTGTATATACCAACGGGAAAAAGTAACTGTGCATCATATAAAATTCAATAAGAATACAAGAATAAGGGTTGGCATCACAAGTCATGAATTCGATGAAAAATCGACGGAACATGACTCATTACTGTCAAAGGAAATTTCAATGGTGCACGCTACCGGGACCTCATAGTTCGAGATCATGTTCTACCCTTTATGCAAAATCAGGTACGTAACGTCACCTTGCAGAAGGCCCACATGTTGCATGTGTTGTAACACAGTATTTGAGGCAGAACAACATTGATGTACTGAAACGACCGACTGTTTCCTAACCTTACTTGTATGAATGTCTGTATCGGTTGTCTTCTGAATGTTTAATTTGGTTGAAGTGCTAGCTACAAATTCTTATGTTGTATTTTGTATCCACCTTCACGATGGCGGTTACAATCATGTATATATGTTTCAGTTTATAATATGGTAGTATGGTATTTTGTATACTTTTATCTGATGAGAAATACATTTAATTAGTGTATTGTCAGTTATATTGGATTCAGGCACATATTCACTGTGCCGGGTGCGTTGTTACACGTCCATGGCAAGGAGCTTTCGGGTAGTGCATTAAAGCGTACGCGTTCGCTCGTCACGCCGAAGATCCGGGTTCGACTCCCTACATGGGTATAATGTGTGAAGCCCATTTCAGGTGTCCCCCGCCGCGTTATTGCTAGAATGTTGCTAAAAGCCGCATAACACCGTACTCACTCACTTTCTCCCATGTAACCGACATTGCACTCATTGCTTATAGTCTGTTTCAGTGTCGTGTCATGTGTTGATATACTATTCTATATGTTAACAGTTATATCATATATCAAGGAAAGGGTTTTGTTATTGTAAACAGTTTCATTCAGGAAGTATTTGCATTGTAGGATGGATGCTTCATATTTGAAACACCACCTACATTTGCAAAAAAAATAATGTGTGCGTGTGTCTGTGTGATTGGGAGACCTGACGGTCAAGGCTACTCAGTATAAACTAGGGCAAAAAAGGTTTCTGTACACCATAACAAGAACTTTTGAATAGAATTTGGTCAACCTGATATCTAATATGAATAGTTCAATTGTCCTGAAATTTCGGAAAAAAATCATGAAACCTCAGATATTTCCGATCATGGGATGATGAACTAACTGAACACTTGTGATGACTGTGTCAAATATCAAAGACGCTTTTAAGATAACACATAAAATGACTTGTACATTGTTTCATTCAAGTGTTTGTTGGTATTGCATGGTTTATATATGTAACACCACCCTAGTTTGCAACATGTTCTCACATGAGACTAAATGAGGCTAAAGACCACTCGTTAGGACGTAGACGCCCTAAAACGCTGGTGTACAATATAACTTGTTCATTTATATTTGGAATTTTATTAAACTAACTATATATATGCTGTTCATGGCTGAAATTAGAGGTCCAGGTACATAATCCATATTACTGCCGCTTTAATGGCATCATTTCCGGTGTGGACAAAACATGTGCAATGAAGCCTTTACCTTACTAACATCACTTCCGGCTTGAAGAAACGTGTCCAATGCAGTGCCACTCTGAAGCAGCTAAGGATCATGTCTTTAACTGCCTTAATAACAAAGTTACATACGGTTCATCATTAAGATTGAATGTCCTTTGTATTACCTTAACAGGAACGTTATTTGTACTTCTGCTTAATTATCTTGTCCCTCAATTTCAGCCAATCACATGCTTGATTATTCTATAAGAAATATTAAACGTCAGAGGTCAAGAGAATATTCAAGAATATTCAAGCCAAATATAAATCAAATATGTGCCTTGCTGGAATTCAATGTAACAACGATGGAATAGCATATGCTACTGTGACAATAGGTCACATTGACCTACAACTGATATGAAAGATTGTCATCACTTGTCATACATAAGTATTCAAACAATATAAGCATTATAGGCAGAAAATGTCATTTAGTGAAAATGACAAACTTTACCAATGACCTTGACCTTATAAGCAAGTCACTCACAACCTTTTGAGATCGCGCCACCACATCAAAGGATGATCTTATTGTACTAACGTAGAGTAAATGCTTATTAACCTTAATATTAAGATTGACCTTGGCCTTTTAAATGAATGGTCCTTGTGTGAAATATGTTGGGGTTGATTTTTTTCCATATTTCCCGCCATATTACCAAGTAGTTTCACACACATTTAAACAATAACAAACTCAAAGGTTAGACTTTATATATTTCTGTTATTATATGCATTGCAACATGTGCGTCAGTATAACTTATTACATAAAATAGGTATAAATAAGTTCATGGTAATCCGAATGTAAGCTCATTGCTTAAAGTCTGTTTCAGTGTCATGCCATGTGTCGATATACTATTCTATATGTTAACAGTTATATTGTACACCATATCAAGAATCTTTTAATAGAATTTGGTCAACCTGATGAATAGCTCAAATGTCCTGAAATTTCGGAAAAATTCATGAAACATCAGATATTTCCGATCAGGGATGATGAACTAACTGAACACTTGTAATGAGTGTGTCAAATATCAATGACGCTTTTAAGGTCACTCATGAAATCACTTGTACATTGTTTCATTCAAGTTTTGTTGATATGGTATGGTATGGTTCATATAAGCGTTATAGGCAGAAAATGTCATTAAATGATAATGACAAACTTTACGAATGACCTTGACCTTATAAGCAGGTCACTCACAACCTTTTGAGATCGCGCCACCACACCAAAGGATGACCTAATTGTACTAACGTAGAGTAAATGCTTATTAAGATCACTTCGATGATGACCTTGGCATTTTGAATGAATGGTCATTGTATCAAACATATTTCCCCTTTGCTTTAAGACCGTGGTCTAGTGGTAGAGCGTCCGCACGGAGAGCGGAAGGTCCGGGGTTCGATCCCCGGTCGCGTCATACCAAAAGACGTAAAAAGAAGGTACTTGTTGTTACCCTGTCTGGCGCTCGACATTAAGGGGCTAAAACAAGGACTGGTCGGCTCGGAGTCAGTATACTGTGTCTGAGTGGGGTATTCATGTTAAACTGCGGCGTGGTATCTCAGTGAGCTAGCACTATAAATCGGCATCAGTCCGGACTAGTACAAGCAGCCACACAAACACACACACGTACATGCACGTCGCTATATAAGTGCAATAATCTTGGACGCGACGTTAAACCCCATTTCACCCCACCTCAACTTTGCTTTAAAGGAGATATGATATCAACGGGATGTCCGTGTGCCGTGTGGTTCCAAAAAGCAAATGTGGCGTCGATGGTCAAATTCAGACAAAACCTTAATGCATCCCCATGTGGCGCTGTTTAGTTTATTTGCAAATTTATGAGGTGTAATTAAAATATTTTAGAAAGAGATTCATTGAAGGATCCTTAATAATGCCCCGTGATGACTAAGAGCACCATGCGGGCAGCACAGGTACGGTAAGTCCCCATGGTCCCTGGTATGGTGACCTAACTTTAGCTGTTGGTGATCTCTAGCCTGTTCTTGTAATGTGTCGTCTGTCATAATCTGATCATTTTATTGTTCTAAAACCAGTTTTACAACTAAAATCTGTGATATACTGCTCGTTGTTGTACTGTCATTCGATGGCAGTTTTATTTATATACAATATAAAGGCATAACTTGTTCAAGTCACGATATGGCTCAAATATTGCCGATCGGACTTGAAATTTTAACTCACTCACTCAATCAGGGTAGAATGTGTCACCAGCACCCTATTGCTTGTCGTAAGAGGTGACTAAAATTAAGAAGCCGTGTGGATTTCGGATCAGAATTAGGCCCTAGAAACATATTGTCATAAGAAGCGACTTAATGGATCGGGTGTTCAGGCTCGGTGAAATGGCTGTTAGCGTACACAAACAGCGTTGGTCGTTGTTCAATAGTTTGACTGGTTCAGATTCGATTACTTACAGGCGCTGTAAAACTGGACTATTGCTGAACGCAGAGTTGAAGAATAAGCACATAGCCACACACACCTTAATACTGATTCTGAATTCATTCATGCTAAAAAAAATCAGCTCTATATTGGTTATTTATATAATACAGTTTCAGTGACAACGAAAATGTCAGTCTCTTTCTAAGTATGTTTCATTATAAACAGGTACACGTTGTTGTAAATACACTGTGCATTTTACCTGTGCCCTGCTGTTCTTGTGGTTGGTTTATCTCTCTGGACCGTACACTGATCATTTTTAGTGAATCTGCATTTGTGTAATGTCCGCATCCAAGTGTGACATTGTGTGTAGTGTTTGTCAACTTTACATGAATGAGTGACGTCCAATTGATCCCTTAAGTCACACAACTGTAAGGAGGCTCCACGTCTCAGCTGTACACCACACTCCACAGGGTAAAACATGTTTGATAGGCATTACTTAGAAGTTGACAGATGACAAGGTAGACACAATTGTATGCATAACAACTGTAAAAGGCGACGTTTCGGTATAGATCCTTATTTCGTTGTCAAGCAAGGATCTATACGGGAAACGTCGCTTTTTATAGTATTAAAGAAGTTGTTATCAATAAAATTGTGTCTAACTTGTCCACAGGGAAAGCTGTGCATGCCCATTCTCTTAAACATATCCATGTATTTTCTTCTTTGTCATTGAACCCAATTGTCAAGGCATACACTCCATGTATTGAGATTATAAATGTAAAGGGGTTTGTGCGTCAGATTAGTCAGTCTCACAACAAATCCAAAGGGTATTCAAGTGTCCACCTGAACAAATAGGGTAACATATGGTACAAGTCAAATTAGGGGACATAATTTTTGTCACTGATGAAATAGTAACGCCACAATCCCTGTTCAGTTGAACAGTTGACTTGCCTTTGCGTGTGTTTGTGAGTTGTACAACCAGCGGGGTAGGATTTCGCGAACATCTGGTATCATCACTATTCGATAATAATTGATAAACACATGCTTATGATACAGTCCGAATCGTAATGTCTTATGATTATGGAGAGGGTGTTGTCACTCTTATATACATTAACGCAATCTCACCTTTCCGTTTTATACTCGTTGACGATTCAGATGTTGGTGCCTTTTCTGATTGCGTGCCGTCTTTCTATAATCAATTCATGATAAGTGTATCAATATATCACGAGAAATTACCAACGTCCATTCTTGATGAACTAAAAACGAAATTAAGTCAAAAAATCTATTTAAAAAATCAAGTTCGCAGGAAGAGTTTGTTGGATTTAACGCACATTTTTCAGCTTTTCAAAATAATTCAACAACTGTAAATTAAACGTGAATGAAAACATTAGTATTCAGTATTTTGAACTGTTTGGTTATACAATCTATATGTGAGGAGTGGTGCAACACAGACATAGCCCAGATGAAACAGTCCTTGACACTAAAAGTAGGATAATTCTGAAATAAAGTGAAGACTTTATAGAAATTTCGTGACATGGGCACGGTATTTAGAGCAGTTTCTGTTGTAGAATACAGAAATGTACGTACAATTCAATATTTGCATACAAAGACATATCTTACCTTCGTCGGGCAAGTTATATCACTTTCACCTCGCAGCTCAGGCATGTCTGCTGTAAGATACTTGCGACACTTAGTCTCTGTGACTGGAAAAATGCATTGTAGCTATTTTTATAATGCCTTTTCAGGACAAGCGCTCCACGACGTTCATGATTATTGTTATAGTGCAAACCACTTGAATAGGTCTTCAGCAACCCATGCTTGCGGTAAAAGGCGACTATGCTTGTCGTAAGAGGCGACTAACGGGATCGGGTGGTCAGGCTCGCTGACTTGGTTGATGCATGCCATCTATCCCAATTGCGTGGATCGATGATCATGATATCAATCACTGGATTGTCTGGTCCAGACTCGATTATTTACAGACCGCCGTCATATAGCTGGAATGTTGCTGGGTGCAACAACAAACAGACAAACAAACAATTTGTTTTGTAAAACTTCATTTATCCAAAATACCTAATAGTTTGAATGTCTCCAAGTTCACAGAAGATCTGCAGCAAACATTCGGCATGTCCCCTGTGCCATAAGCTTCCTCCTGTCAGGACCCTCAATCCCCAGAGCCGTCTGTTAACATCTATACATGTCCCTTAATACCTCCTTACGTCGCCGGATCTTACATCAGGTCTTTTATTATCCCAAAAAGCTTTATTACACTGCTATTTGCATTGTTCTGTTTTAAGATCACCTACACCTACAGTTATTATGTTTTAGTGAACAGTGCGAAACAGTGCGGCATAAACAAATCTGTTCAAAAGAAAAAGATGACTCTACCCCCAAAAACTGGCCCCCATCGATTTCGCTCGTTACACGTTTTATGATTAATAGAACACGGCAAACTCTCGTGTAGTAGTCGCTAGATGTCAGGACTAATGTGCAAAAGTGCATTCATCAGATTCTCATGCCCTACACTGTGGCAATTATTTGATATGTGCTGAACTAACAGAAATGATTTTTCAAGCAATGAACAGTTCAATGTATCCTGCTAAGATTGAATGGGTGATGCTTGTTGTCTTTGTTATATGTGTAAACAGCTGCATGTAATATGGTTTGTGTTTTGTTTAGTTCCATATTCATATGCATCGGAATTTCTGCAAAGTCAAAACAAGGTAATTTGGCCAAGAAGTATAACTAAAGCTTGAGGTATATTGATTATCTGATATCGTTCAATAACCATCAAATAGCCAATTCCCTTCAACTGATCTACCCACCTGAACTAAACATAATGGAGACCAGTATCAACTTATAGTTTCATTGCTTTGAAATTAAAGGTGTAATTTTAATGTTTTGATACGACTCTTTCTGTATCCGTATCACACATATATCTTTGTTAATGGCCATAACTTAGATGTGGGCGATAATTAATTAAATGAATATAAATCATTGTATAGATAGCTCTCTCCTCGTCACCTTTTTCTGCCCATCAAGATCTGGTTTAGTATTGTGTACCCTCTTTATTTAACCTATAGCGGTAGAGCAGATTTGTCGTCATATTCTTTGACGAGCTACAATCCGTCATCTCGGGCACAGACTTCATTTCCCTATATCTGGAGAGAAGCTGCATTTCTTTACTGACTGCCTTCCTTCATTCATACAATGTATTCAATCACAATTTATTTCTTTTTCTTTTTCCTGAAATAAAGACGCATGTTTGACATCATAGAATAGATTGACATTTGATTACATATTAACATTTTAAAAAAAGATCCAGTTTGAAATGAGCTTTCAAGTTTCATTGAATTAATCTAAAGGGGCCTATATGGAAATTTCACAGCAGTGACTAGTGTGCTTAACAATATGTTGAATTTTTACCCTATTCACAACGTGGTAATAGGGATCCTGGTGCTGAAAAATGTCGCCACTGAGAGTCGGCAGAACATGAATTAATACCTCGGTCATATGTGGACATTCTCCATATAGTGATTTGTGCACGGACACTGTCACGTTTAACATTACAGTTCACAGGCGTCAGTTTATATCGCCAGTGATACCTGTCGTTTATATCTTTACTGTTGCGTATAACCTTGTTCACTTGTGAACTCACTCTTTATGCAATATCTATATTCATCATCCAAAACTGGCTCCCACAGGAGATAGTGAAACATATGACATACTACTACATTGATCTTTAAAAAAGAAAGATATTGCGGGGATTGTGACAAGGAGATGACAAAGGGGAAACGCATGAAAGTAATTAAGTGCAAACACATTAACGCGTTGTTCCACTTTTACCATCAGTATATACCTATTCAGCCTTCAAAGGAATAAAGTGATGTTTGCGTTGACAACACCTTAGTGTATTGCTATTACAATCAGTAAGCAGATGCGGAAGATAATATATAGCTGGAAACGTATCGAGTATATGCTTACTCCTTTACCAGGTGAATACATACTGTGACACACACACACACACACACACACACACACACACACACACACACACACACACACACACACACACACACACACACACACACACACACACATATATGTATATATATATATATATATATATATTTACCTGTAAGAAACAACAAAAGTAATACGATAACAAGGGAAGCCAATAGATAATTAATGGGTGATTAGTGTATCACTAAAGACTTGAGTAAGCAGATGATCAGAGCTGTCCAGTGTAAAATATTAACGGAGCCTGACACAACGCTTCAACGCATTTTTGTTTTCAAAACGAAGACATTTCTTAAACGTTTTTCTTTAGTTATAATATCTTAACTCTCTAACACAGTAGAGGTGATGATATGACTGATGTAGTTAACTACCTTCTCTGCTTGCAGTGCTATCAGTCCTTTACATGTGTTCATAGAGATAACATAGTCTTCAATATTTACTTCTCGGATTTATCTGGATAAAACGTGACTGTTTTTAAATATGATGTTAAAGAGAATTAACTTATTCACCGTCAAGTTTATAATGAAACATAAAAGGCAAGTCAATCGCTCACGCGAAAATAGAATCAGAATTTCTGCTCATATTGGCAAAAAGAAACAGTGGCATTGGCCATGATGTGTAACTGCAGGTTTATATGCAGGTATATCAGCTTCATAACTAGACATTTACATACATATTCAGAGTGACAGACGCTATTTACAAGACTGCATGACAAGAAGGATGACGTCAATTTTCTAACAGTAAACTTTCCAGTTACTTTGAGCAATATTCCAACAGCTGTCTGTCTACATTTGATATACCTTTGAGGCACATTCCAGTATAGTCTTTCTACGAGGTGGGGTGAAATGGGGTTTAACGTCGCGTCAAGGATTATTGCACTTATATAGCGACGTGCTTGTTGTAGTCCGGACTCATGCCGATTTATAGTGCTAGCCCACTGAGATACCGTACCTCAGTTTAACATGAATACCCCACTCAGACACAGTACACTGACTCGAAGCCGACCAGTCCTTGTTTTAGCCCCTTATTGCCGAGCGCCACACAGGGTAACAACAAGTACCGTCTTTTAACGTCTTTTTGTATGCCGCGGCCCGGGATCGAACCCTGGACCTTCCGCGCTCCGGGCGGACGCTCTATCACTAGACAGCGGAGGCGGTTTCTTTCTACGAACATTTCAAAGAGAATATTATGATTCTTGTTCAATAGTTTTTTGAACGAGCTTACAACATTCAAAAGGAAACGGGTTGTTCAGTCGTCTAACGCGCTACAATTCGCTGTAGAGAGTTAGGCCCACCCGAAGACCGTGGGTTTGAATCCAACTTCTCCCTGATTATGTTTCAAGGTTTGTCAGCACCATACCCGTGCTCGTTATTTCCACCGATGTGATTTACGTCTGAGACCTGCTTTAAGTAGGGCTTTCCTTCCACATTAAGCTGACCAGCCGTGATATGACTCGAACACTGTTCAAACTTACTCACTCACGATAACTTTCAAAGCGTCAGTAAATCATTCAAGGAATTTTATGGTAGACACGTGGAGGGCATTTCCAAATTGATACCCGATACTGTTCCCTATGTTCACTTGTTCCCTTATTATTTTCGGGTGAAACGATTGAATTGCCTTTGCATGTGTTTGTGACGGGTGCCACCGGGTTCCAATTGTTACGCAAATGAACATGACTCTACACACCTGCCGAGATCACCGTGTTAGTTAATACTCGCAAGCACATAATGAAGATCCAGGGTAGAACAGGTCTTCAGGAACCCATGGTTGCCGTAAAAGAGTACTGTGTTTGTCGTAAGAGGCGACTTACGTGATCGTGTGGTCAGGTTCGCTGACTTGCTTTATACATGTCATCGTATCCCAGTTGCACGGATCGATGCTCATGATGTCAATCCCTAGATCGTCTGATCCAGCGTGAAATATTTAAACAAAACGAAGCAGAAATATCACCGTCTGTAGTCATCCCACAACCTACTCAGGTAGGTTCAGGTGCAGAACACTTGCCGCTTGAAGTAGACTCACAGCTTGTATGCCTGGTTACATCAGTCACTGCGAGAACAACCATATCAAAACTGCCACAGTGTGTGTATAAACTACCGTTTGCCATGAACGGTGTAAGGGAGACTACTCCGTCAGGCTCAGGTATACTTCACTGAACGTTAATAGTACAT